CTGGGGTTACTCCAGGTAAAGCTTCTTGGAGATCTCCCCAGCTAGATGGCTGGAATCAACTCCTGTGTCTGACCTTGTAGTGCCTATACCAGGACTAGGCCTCCTGATGCACATATGGCCAACAGCATGCTCAGATGCATACAGGGGACATGACAGCCAGCAGAGGATGTCAAGTGCCTCATCAGAGGATGGAAGGCAGAACAGGATGGACAACTCCCCTGGCCAGTCTTGGTAGTGAGTGTCTGGGTCTGTGGATGCAATGAGGTGGACGTGGTCAGCCAATAGACCTTGGATTTTCCCAACCCCAGTACAACAAAGCAACGTCTCAGAACTATCAAAAGCATTCAAGTAACATTGGAATATTCTCCCCCACACTGGGATCTCTAAGGTGACCGTTGCCCATCCCTGGGTGCTGATGCGGTGTGACAGCAAGGAGCAATCCCCTTTCGTGGACACAGGAGAAAAACAAAGCGAGATATTTGTCCTACCTCCAAACTGGAGGCCTACATGGGCATTTATCCTTTAACTATATAAACATATTAAGAATAATTTAAAAAAGAAAGCTTCCCCCTGAAACTTTGATATGCCCTTCTTTTCTTCCCCGTCATCCCCATGAATGATGGCATGGCCCTTGCAGTAGTTGTGTCTATTTTCTAGTCCTCTTTGTGCACTTATTAAACTGATTCATGGTCCAAGTCACTTAGTGGGGAAGCAAGGGTTTTGCTGCCCTGGGATTGCTTCCAAGCTTCAGAATCTAGATAAGGAATGGAAAAACACCGCTTGTACCTGGGTGCTGCGCTTGGCTTGCTTTGTCAGTTGCATGTATCCTGCTTGGGAAGTCTAGAGAAGTCAGGACTCCATGACCGAAGGATGGCAGCTACTTCGCCTCCTCCCTGCCTGACTCTCCCAGTGAGTGGTCAGCACCAGTGCCAGTGTCCTCAGACGCTCCTCACCAGGACTGCTGCCCACGTGGGCCATCACGCAGGCCGATTCCCTTTTGGTGTGACTTCATGTTTGCATGCAGGGGTCAGCAGGCATCCCGTCGGACTCAAGGGAACTGGAATCCTTTCAGGAGCATTGATGGAGGACTTCATGTCTACTGCTTTGGGGCCATGTAAATTGTATTTTTAAAATGTTTTCTTATTGGAAAGTTAGGCATACAAAAAGAGACAGAGAGGAAGAACCTCTGTCCATTGATTATCCCCAACGCAGCCGCAATGGCCCGAGCTGTGTCAATCCAAAGCCAAGAGCCTGGAGCCACTTCTGGGTCTCCCATGTGGTGCAGAGCCCCAAGGCATTGGGCTGTCCCCAACCTCCCTCCCAGGCCGAAAGTATGGAGCTGGATGGGAAGTGAGGCCACTGGGATTAGAACTGGCAGCCATATGGAATCCCAGCGTGTGCAAGGCAAGGACTTTAGCTGCTAGGCTACCCTGTTGGGCCCCGAGTTGTTTTAATATTTAATTACCTCCCAGGAATAGGCAACTGCCTAGATTGCCTTATATCTAGGCAAGTGTTAAACCTGCTTATATATATATACGCTTATATATGGGGAAGGCAGAGAACATGGTCTAGGACACGACACTGGCCTCCTGCAGGGGGTGCTTCAGATTGCCCAGAGTATGGGGTCTGGAGACACATCCAAGAGGACTGGCTGAGTGCATGTTAGGAAAGGACTTACTTCTGGGGTATTCCATGATTTGGGCCACTGTACTTGCACGTAGGCAAGGGAGCCGAGACAGAGTGGTTTAAAGGGGAAAAAGCAGAAGGCATGTTTGTGTCAGGCCACGGCATCTGTCCACATGGGAGACCTGGGCTGGGCTAAACAGCCTTGTCCATAGCCCTGTGGTACATTCAAAAACTGGGACTGGGTGGCATGCCCAGCTTGGCTAGGCCATGGTGCCCACTTGTGAGTTTCAGAACATGAAGTAGACTACATCAGGCAGGCCAGAGCACCCACCAGAATGAGAAACAGATCTGGGTACAGAATAATTTTATTGGAAAGTCAGATATACAGAGAGGAAAGACAGAAATATCTTTTATCTGCTGGCTCACTCCCCAAATGACTACAATGACCAGAGCTGAGCCTATCTGAAGCCAGGAGCCTGAAACTTCTTTCGGGTCTCACCTGGGTGCAGGGTCCCCAAGGCTTTGGTCTGTCCTCCATAGCTTTCCCAGGCCACAAGCAGGGAGCTGGATGGGAAGTGGAGCAGCCAGCACACCAACCAGCACCCACATGGGATCCCAGTGGTTGCAAGGTGAGGAGCTGGCCATTACCACACCGGGTTCAGTGTACCTGTTTCATTTGGTGAACATCTGAGTTGTTCCATTGTTTTTGTGACTATGAATTGTGCTGCTAGAATATAGGGTTGCAAGTCACTTTGTCTTAAGCAAATTTTATCTATATTACCCGGAGTGGGATAGCTGGGTCACATGGTAGATCAAGTCTCAGCCGTCTGAGCACTCCTCATATTGATCTCCACGGAGGCTGCACTCGTCTACACGTACTAACAATGGACTAGGATGCTTTCTTTGCCACATCCTCACCAGCACTGCTATTTGTTGGTTTCTGTATGCAGTTTAGGAGGCAAGCCACAATTAAGCAGCATGAGGCTCAGAGCTGGTCTCCAGTTCTTGCACACCCTCTAGTAAGTGTGTATATTGCCTTGATACCATTCACCACCTGCTTTGATAAAAACAGAAATCAGATGGTCTGCAAGACCAGTGTATACAGGCTGGGGTGGGAACAGGTCACCTTCAGAAGTGCTCCAGTGCCTATTGCAAAACTGAGCAGCCTCTCTGGAGCCACTTTCTTTCCCTTTCTAAATCCCACCAAGTTGGGACTGTTTGCTCTTCTTTCTTCCCATCACTCAGGCACTGCCAGCTGCTGTCTGCACTCCACATCTAGTTTTTCCATGGGCAATGGCTTTCTTCTAGACTTTGGAGGCCAGTCTCTAACTCAGGCGGGCCCGAGTCCAGGGAAGCAACTCGGGACATGTGTCCTAGGCAGGGGGGCCCCCTTCAGTTACAGAGTTTGTTCACCCTACAACTTGAGATTGATTCCATGGATCAGGGGTGGGAGAGGGCAATCTCACATTAGGTTGCTGACCAGCTTTCTTGAAGATTCTCATGTCAGCAGTCCACAAACTACAGATCACTGCAGGTCAGTGTATAGAATATCTTAGTTTTTAATTGGTAAGGCAGATTTACAGAAGACAGAAAGACCTTCCACCTACTGGTTCACTTCCCAGGTGGCTGCAATGGCCACAGTGAGATGACCCGAAACCAAGAGCCAGGAGCCTCTTCCTGGTCTCCCATGCGGGTGCAGGGTCCCAAGGCTTTGGGCCAGGCCATAGGCAGGGAGCTAGAAGGGAAGTGGAGCAGAAGGGACATGAGCTGGTACCCACATGGGATCCTGGCATTTGCAAGGCGAGGATTTAGTCAGTGAGCCATTGTGCTAGGCCATAGGGTGAAGCTGGCATCAGAAGCAGAGCTGGGATTTGAACCCAGGCAGGGATCCTGAAACAGGTAGGCATTCTGTGTGATGTCTGAACTGCTTTTGGCCAAACACAAACACTTCTTTGGCAGAAATACTTCCCGATATACCATGATATACCATAGGTAGTAGATAAGCACCTAAGAAACTTCTTAACAATGATGTCAAGTGATTTATGTCCAACTTTCCCCAACACATTTGTTTTCAGGGAACCAGAATCTCTCAAACTCACATGTCTGAACCAGACATATATGAGTTTTGTACCTGTTTGCAGTTTTGAGAGCTAATATAAAGTCAGACTGTAAAAGGGTTTTGGAAATAAGACAGTACTATTCTGTTATTCCACTTCCATTCTGCTTTTGTGTTCACTCTCCAAACAGATCGTTGCTCCCTTGTCATTCCCAGCCCATTCGCATCTGCCACATAAAACCTCAGAAGAGCCTCAAGCTCAAACCACAAACATGTCATCTGTCACTGTTCAAAAGTTATTTGAAAGGCAGAGTTACAAAGAGACACAGGGAGAGAATCTTCTATCCTTTGGTCCATTCCCCAAATGGCTGCAATGATGAGAGCTGAGCAAATCTGAAACCAGGAGCCAGAAGCTACTTACAGGCTTCCCATGTGGGTGCAGGGTCCCAAGGAGTTGAGCCATCCTCTCTGCTTTCAAGGCCATAAGCAGTAAGCTGGAGGGGAAGTGGAACAGTAGGCATTTGAACCAGTACCTATGTGGAATGTTGGCATTCCAATTGGAGGTTTACCCTACTATGACCAACTTCTTAAACTCTCATTTTACTTGAAAGGTAGAACAATTTTCCATTTGTTGATTCACTGACCAAATGAACAACAGTCAGGTATAGCTTAAGTTAAAGTTGGGAGCCAGGAACTCAATCTGATTGTCAGAGACCTGACTGACTACTTGAACTTGCACCCAGCAGGAAGCTGGAATCATAAATGGGGATGGGGAGGACATACAGGTACCGGCTTGAGTCCCAGCTCATTCATTTTGATTCAGCTCCCTGCTAATGTGCCTGGGGAAGCAAAGGAGGGTCTCCAGGGAAGACCCAGATAAGGTTTCTGGCATGGCTCAGTGATGGCCACTGTGGCCATTTAGGGAGATGGAAGATCTTTCTCTGTAACTCTACCTTGTACACAAAAATGAAGCTGCTGGGATGTGACAGGAAGAGACACAGCCATCATTCGTCTGTTGGTGCAATTGTAAAATGGATTCACTGGCCAGATCTGAGCTGACCCGAAGCTGGGAGCTAGGAGCTGCTTCCTTGTTTTCCACATAGATGGCAGGGGTCCCAGAACTTGGGTCATACTCTGTTGCTTCCCCAGGCTATTAGCAGGGAGGTGGACTGGAAATGGAGCCACTGGGGCTTGAAAGGTGATTTTAATTAATTATATTTGGACATGAATTTTCTCAAAGTATTTTAGAACTGATACCTGCCAACTACTGCTCAAGTCACTGACAGGTACAAACATGCAAAAACGTAGTTTCAATATGTTAATTATATACACCATTTTTTATTTAGGCTTGTTGAATGAAAACAGCAACAAAAATACCCCAATTTCTTCTGCAGATGCAGCCCCCTACAGATGCTGTCATGAACAGCCTGAAATAGCCAGAGCAGAATAAGAGTGAGCCCAGGGGGATCAACAAGTCATCTGGAATCTTCCCAAGTATATATTTATTTCCTTTGGTGCCTTGCACAATAAGGCACTGTTAATGCTGTAACAGAAATAGTGGAAATGCCCACAGCAATATTTCTACTGACAATTTACTAGACAAGTTACAGTTCAGTGGTAGTGATGGTGGTGGTGATTGTTTCATTTTATTGGTTTTTTTTTTTTTTTACAATAAGGGTATAGCCTTTATACTTCACACAAACAAAACAAGAAGTGCTTATTAAACAGTCCCTTCCCCCACCCCCTTAGAACATCCTGAACATAGTAATTCATTAGAACAGAAAAATCAAGTTTGATTTCAAATTTTCAATAAAAACGAAACTATGTAATGCAACAGCTGCTCAAATTCCAACTCTAAGCAGGTATCATTAAACAAACCAACCCAGTAATTGCAATTTCTCCAGCACACATTCCAGTATAAACGCTCTGAACTGTAATCAGCCAGTAATTAATAGTGGGAAGAGACTCTTAGAGCAGAAGTTACATTGCTTCCTACCTCCTTTTGTCTATAGTTGGAGGGTGGAGGTATTAGGGGAATACAAAAGTCAGAGGAAGAATAATTAAGAGTAATTCTCAAAGCTGCTGCTGTTTGGACTAGAAAGGAAGACAGCATATTACAAATGTTCAAAAAGTCCCAAGGCAAATCAACAATTCATTCACTAGCACTCCTACTTCAAAGAATAAAGAGATCAATGTCTTATAAAAAATTGTACTTTTAGAATTGTATTACAGGTTCACCAGAAACTATGGATGCAGTTTTAGGCTTCACAAAGGGGGGACAGGTGGAGTTGAGGTCATGTTAGCTCCTGTACATCTAACCTAACTGAATCGCTCTCTGGAACTGCTCCCTGCGGCGCCCTGAACAGCTGCCAGCTACACAACAGGAACTCCAGAGGAAGCCTGAGGAGGGAAGGTATGTGCACAGCTAATTAGATCTCCCCTGCTTCACGCTCTTCAGAGCTTCTCCTGTCTTCTGATCTGCCATTAGCACTCTCATAGGACCTCTTCTTATCTTTTCGATCTCTGTCACGTGATGCTAAGTCTTGATCTCTGAATCTTTCCTTTGAGGATCTGAAAAATATTAATTTGAGGAGCAAAATGTTGGGAGGCCTAAAATCCAAATAAAAGAATAGGATAAATATAAAGTTACTGGGAACTGAAGGATACATCTGAGAGAAGTCAGTTTTCTGACAGAAAAGGGCAGTTGATAAGGGCAGTAAAATAAGATGTTCGGTAAAAAATAGCTAAGAGTCAAGAAGCATAAGCTAAAATCATAACAAGGTATTTTCACTAAGATAACCATAAAGTTTCCAATTCACAAAACAAAGACAGTAAATAGAAACTAATGACTTCATGTAGGGGTCAGCTTGCCCTCTGGTCAGACGATTGTTGCAGGTCACACAGTCTCTGTCACTCGTCCTATTCTTTCTCCTATTAACCCCTCAACAGTGTACAAGCCACCCGTAGCTTGCTGGCTGTACAGAACCAGGCCGAAAAGGCTGATCTGGCCTATTAGGCAACAGCTTCTCAATACTTGATTTAGATGAGTTACTCAATAACAAAGCTTTAAATAACCACTTATTTTTAAAGTCTGTTTTATTCCTCCTTAGTTCATTCATTCAAGCAACAGAAAAATAATGAAAGACAAAGATGATCACACTATATAATAGATCTCTAACCATAAATGGTTCTTAACACTATCTTCTCCATTCCCACACCCAATTTTAATAAGGCGAACAAAAAGTTCTTGTGATTCAATCAGAAGGAAACAAGAGATTGTAGGGTTAGAATAAATATGGAAATGTCTATGCTTCCAACATATAGAACGAATCAGTAACATATATTACATTTATTTGGTTCTTTACAGGTGACACAGCACTTTTACAAAATTATCTCATTTAACCCACGTTCAGAATTAGGATGTGAGGCACTGCCAAGATGAGAATGATACAGGGTACTTCAAAAAGTTCATAGGAAAATGAAGATATTTTGATCCAACAATATTGGAAATCCATGCATAGTTTTTACATTATGTACATTTTCATCAGCTCCTTCAAGATCCCCTATATGCAAGGATTTCAAAATTTCTTTTGGCACCAAACTAATCTTTCTTTCAAGTCTATTTTCTATGAACTTTCTGAAGTCAATTCATACTTTTAGGAAAATACTGTACTTGGTTTAAGAAATATAGTTAAGGGTTAAAAAAAAGTTAAAAGACTAATATCTTTGAAAATCCTACTTCAGGTTTTGATAAGCGCAGTTAAAAAAAATGACATGTAGTGGGGGGGAACCCCACACAGTACAAGTCTAGTGATTGCAAGTCAATACCAGCTGTACCCACAGCCTTAGTAGCAGTAGATATGAAGAAAATAGAATGCCACCCTAAGAGAAAGGATCCTAGATGACTGTAAAGTCCCAGAGGTCAGTAATAACTGAAATACAACTGAGATGAGTTTCATCTAAAGTTTTCTGAGATTACAATATCCCACACCAGTTGCTTCCATGTACTTTTACTAAAACTACTAATACTCATAAAGTAAATACTCATAGCATCTCTATCTACTAAGCAGACAGAAAACACAGGTGGGATAATTAAGTTAGCCACCAAGCCCACTAAATCAAAGTGGTCTGTGAAGTCTGTGCTGAAAGCCACTGCTCTTCCCTCACTTCCCGAGGACAGCTGCTGCCGAGGAAAGTTCACAAAGATCTATCACACCAGAGACCAGCACTTCACAGGAGGCGCAGGAGAACAGCAAAACCTAAAAGTTTCAGTTGGAACTTGTCTTAAAAATTTAAACCAAATAACAATAACTTGATGTCAATCTTCTACGTAAAAACTGTACAAATTTTAATAGCAAGTACTGGCTAGTTTTTTGCTAAAAACAATGATGTGTGAGAAGAGAATGCAAATTCAAAAATGAGAAGTGCTTAAGAGAAGCAAAACTAAGCCTCTATGAACATGCTGAACAACTCAGCTGGTAACACATAATATGGTGGAAAATCTTCCTATATAATTTCATAAACGCATGAAGCATTAGGGACTACTAAGATAACAATCTTAAATAAGGAGACTTCACATCCATCCTTCCTCCCACCACCACTACCAATGAAGACACTGAAGAGTTTGTAAACCCTAGGAACAGGGACAGCTGGGCATGTTATCACAAGCAGCACGATTCTTATAATTTAGTGTGCAGTTAAGACTCATGGAGAACTTCCAAAAATGCTTTTTCTGGACACTGCACTAAGGGCAGTGCAAAGCCCCACATCTCAAGAGTGACCCAAGAGGCTGACACATGGCCTTCGGCACCCTGCAGACTGCAGGTGCTCACACTCTACTTGCCTTATGATGCTCTTGATTGTACCTGTGCAGATCAAACCCACTTGAACTCCTACCTGAAGCCCTCTGACTACTGGTGGTGTTCCTATCATCTGAGGTCTTGCATTACTTAAAACACAGTTTTAGCACTTTATAATACATATGTGATCTCATACCAGGCTAATTGTTGTCAATGATGTCTATTTTGTACTTGTAGAGTAGAAAATATACATTATCACTATTTAAAGTTACCTTAATACGTTGAACAAGACCAGAATATAAAAAATAAAATGTTGATTGAGCACCTATTAAACAACTCAGTTTCTGAATAATTTTTTAGAAATGGCTAGTTGAGAGCCAAGGAGGTGAGGGGGCAGGACAGATTTTAACATCTTTGTGTGGGTTCTATTTTTGGACTTCACATGGAGCAATTTATAGAGAACTAGTGGATACGAGGCACTCAAAAGACTTATCACATAATATGCTCAATAACTGCCAAGAAAAAAATTTAATTGTTTACAATCCTTAGAAAGTATCATTTTTAAGGGCCACCACGTGACGTAAGATTTTTGAAGCTAGGTCTATGAACTATGAGTGCTAACTTTGTGCATCAGATTCTCGTCCTGTGCCCATTCTCAACAGACTTCCGAGTCCTTAAACATGCCTTGCTCTAGTGTCTGCCCTACTTGTACCTTTTGAGGTCTCTTGCCATCTCCAGGAACATTTATAGGATTTTGGACCTGCCCATCAAGTCAAAGGTAGATAGCAATGAATACGTCTAGTGCAGATTGAGTAAGAATATACTACAATGTGTCTGGTCTGAAAAAGTGAACCAGCTGAAATACATTTAGAAAACAGTTAAGTCAAACAAAGTTAAATTCTTTTAATGAAAGGATTTGTCAGAGCCCAGAATTTACTAATACATAACTGAAAAAAAAAAAAAAGAAAATCTGAAAACATTTGTCCATAAAATGATTTTTCCAAGTCACAAAAAGCAGAGAAGAGTGGTAATCTCTGCACACATCAGTTCCAATTTCTCATTCCGGCTCATAAGTATATTCTTTTTGAACTGCCGTAAGATCAGGGAAAAAATGTTATACACCCACACACAAATGTGTACATATTATCAGATGCAGGTTTCAAACCAATAATCTAAACTCGTAACATAAGTAAACATAAACAATGCTCTAACATAAAGGTAGCTCCGGATCCTTGGATCGGCACATTAATACCTCCTCTTGGATCGTTCTCTGCTCCTATCTCTAGAACTGTGCCGACTTCTCTGGTGGCTGCGGCTGCGGCTGCGGCTGCTGGAGCGGGACCTGTGGCGGTGGCGTTTCTCCCGAGACTTGGATCGAGTCCTCCTCTTCCGTTCTCGTGACATGGAGCGAGAGCGATGCCTGCGATGCTCTCTGGACCTGGATCTACAACAAGAGATTGGACTTCGTGTTCATTCAGCCTCCTCAACACTGCACTTCTCACCTCCTGTTCTTGAAAGAGCAACTATATTCCAGTAGCCTTACTTAATGCCAATTCTATGCCAAAGCAGCAAAATCTACACTACAGAAAATCGCTAGTATGTTAACTGCTAAATTTCAAAATAAAAATTAAAATGCTAATTGTTAGAGGTCAATCAGCATTGTATAAATTTAAATCAGTATTTTTTTAAAAGTACCACAACTGTCTACTGGTGATTGTTATTATCCAGCTGCTTTACTGATTTTTCACTCAGTTTTCTATAATGTTTTAACTTATTTTAGAAATGATGTACCTACTGTAAAAGAACAGAAGGAAAATGCATGAGAAAGAATAAAGCCCAAGAAAAACTACATTCCTGAATTTAAAAAGCTAGGACAGATTTTATAATTTTGAATGCCTACAGTAAATCTAGCCAAACCAATGAAAATACACTGAAGCAGTATTATTCAAGTAGCACACAGTTTGGGGGCAGCGGGCAGGGGTGGGAGTGAGACGGAGAACTCATTTTGGAAATTTCAAGTTATAAAAAGAAACAGAACATTTGCAGTCTACACAGGAATAAACTGAGACTTCTTTCAGCCTTGGCTAGGTCACAGACCAACGTGTGTGTTGTACAGTGTGAGTGCTAAGGGTCACATGCATTAAAAGGTATGCAACTTGGTTTAGAAAGCTACTTTGTGAAAAAAAAAAAAAAAGTTCCAAGTTAAACTGTGATAGCTATACAACTTACTAAAAATGATTGACTTGGGCATGTAAGATGGACATCTTATTAATGTAAATTATTTTGACATAACTAGATTTTTAAAAGCCATTGTTAATATTTGTTCATAATTTCCTGAAAGTTCAAAACACACTATTTACATGATACAGTTTATAAGCTGAATTTATTTTCAGATGATGTAAGATTAAAAGGCTTCAGCTTTGGTCACCATTGTAGCCAAGTAACGACTCATGTTGAAAATTGAGGTTGATCATAGCCAAGTAGAATATTCCCACATTCAAACAGCCTACTTTCAAAAAGGAACATGGGGCCGGCAGCATGGCCTACTGGCTAAAGTCCTCACCTTGAACGCCGGGATCCCATATGGACCCCGGTTCTAATCCCGGCTGCTCCACTTCCCATACAGCTCCCTGCCTGTGGCCTAGGAAGGCAGTCGAGGACAGCCCAAAGAGCCCTGAGATTCTGCATCCGTGTGGGAACCTGAAAGAAGTTCCTGGCTCCTGGCTTTGGATTGGCATAGCACCGGCCATTGCAGGAAAGGTCTTCCTCTCTGTCTCTCCTCTCTGTGTATCTGACTTTCCAATAAAAATAAAATAAATCTTAAAAAAAAAAAAAAAAAAAAAAAAACATGGGTGAATATAGAAGTCATTTGGGTTAGGCCTCTGGACTAGTCAATAAGCTAGTAACTTTTAAAAACTATATTTGAAGAATAAAGATTTTACTTATACCCATCATGTCATATACTGACCTTTTAGGATTCTTGCTATGTGATCGGGACCTACAAAAAGAGCATGTATTCTTAGCACACAGTGCCATGTACTTCAATTATATTAGCAATGATTTTTAAATTTACATTAATTTATAAGGCATGTACTTATACATACAATTTTTCCAAAATATACCACAAACTACAGATTTCTTCATGTTGAACATATGGGCTCCCTTCAGTCAGGATACTTGGTTCTTAAAAAATACACTTTGTAGAGACTAAATTCTCCAGAAACTACTTCTCAGCCTAGAAAAAAAAATCCAGTTTTTATATTTCTATCACTGCTTTTTTCCCCTTCTTGGAAAACAGCGAAATTATTATCAACTGAAATGCATATGGTTTGAAGCTACAAGCTTATCCTGCAGTTGTTCAAACATCCAGCTCAATCACAGAACATCTGTTTCTTCACAAGATCTAAGATACTCAATAATCATTCACTCTTCACATTTCCCAACACAGTTAATATCCACAAACACTAAGGATGTTTTGTGGCTAAAAATATAGGATAGTTGAAAGCACTGCTTTGGATTCAACCAGATGTAAGTTTCAATTCTGATTGTACCACTCACCATCTGTGTGACCTGGGTAAGTTATTTGTCTTTCCTCAGTTTAATCTGTCATTGGCAAAAGAAGGATAGTGCTGTGTCACTGGCACTGGTAGTAGGGAAGGGTATAGAGATTAATACTGGTAAAGTCCTTATAAGAAACACCAAATAAGTGAGAGTGGATTTTACACTAGCTTTTAATTTCATCCTCTATACTTAGTTACACATTTCCTCAAATTAGTTACATTTCCTCAAATTCACAGATTAAGAATTTTTTCCTAACATTTCTGAAATAGGGCTACAATTGATCATCAATATCCTAAAAAAAAAAAAAAAATCTTGCCACTTGGCAAGAAAAGGACTAAGATGTGATACACTGTCATCACAAATGTGAAAAGTACAGCCCTAAGAACTGTCTTCCCATTTAACTATCACTTCAGTTGCATCTTAAACAGATTTCTAAACTGTTATTGTTTTAAACAGTATGTTCAGGCTCTATTCCCATAAGGACTTCAGGTATACAAAATAGCAAAGAGTTGAATTCTGAGGTAACTATTAGGGTAAATAAAAGAATCCCTTCCCTAAAAATAGAAATTAGCTACATTTCGTTTTCACTTTGTCATTATGATGCTAAAAGATTACCTGTTACGTAAAAACAAATGAAATGCACTTAAATTTCTTTCAGTAGACTTATGTTAGCACTGTATTTATGAACTATAAAGGGTTTTAATTGGGCAAAATCTGAAAAGAAATTTACATTTCAGAAACCTGTAATATGAGACAATGTAAATGAGAACTGTAGGTAAACCCTTTGTGATATGCCTGTTTATCCTAAAGCTGTCCAATGACATGCTATACCAATGATGCTATGCAATTTTAGTTGCCAACTTTAAAGAATGACTTAGAAGAATATCAAAACCTTCTAACCATAAGTAGTTACAAGATGTTACTACTTAATGAATACAAATATAACCAAGATCTGGGCATATCTAGCTATAATTAAATTAATGGTATAAAAAAAATTAATGGCTCCTAAAATAGAGAAAATAAAGTTCAACATAAAACAGAATATAACCCAAACTGTTGTAAACAGGTTAAAATAAACCTTAAAAACATAAAAGCTTTCACAATCTGGAAGAACTAGCCAATATTAATCAGTGGCTAAGGATTAGCATACTTTATGGACAATACTTTGCATGGTAATATCTTTAAAACATAATGTCCCATAGCCAACACATGCTAATATGTATAATCGTCTATCAACCCCATACCTTCTCAGCTTCTCCCTTTCTTCTCGTTCTCGTTCTTCTCTTCGTTTTAGGCGTTCCTGGTTTCTTTTCTCCTGCTTCTCAGCCACAACTCTCTTAAAAATAATAAATAAAGAACATATTTGTTGGGTTCATTTTAAATGTTAGAATATCTGATTCCCAAATCACTCTGCATCTAACACCAATACTGCTATCTCCCAGAATAATAACACCGAACTTGCTTCTTAGGCGTCATCCATTGAATAATGATGTGATGAGTTTCCACTATTAACTCCATTGAGTATGAACTGTTTAGCAGATACGAAATACTACTGCATCACAATCGAAACGTCAAGTACAAAAACAGAACACCAATCAAAAGAGCAAGCAGTTAAATGGGGTAAAGTGAGGCAATACAAATTTGCCAATATACCTTTAATTCTTCAAGCTTCTCTCTTATTTCAATAAATCCCAGGTGCAGTTTTCCCCCAAAGTGGTCAGCCAGTCGTCTGTCATTGTCATGAAGCCCTAAGTAGGCAGAGCAGACTTCACAGACTCTTAGTTTCTGCTGCTGGAAACTGGAAGCCGGCATAGAATTCCGATAAACCTCCTAAATCAATGTGAAAACAACAACAATCACAATCTCAATCAGGCACATAACTAAGCAAAATATACTATGAGAACACCAAAAATGTTCTGTAATAAATATGCAACAGGATGTCTGTTTTGTCAAGAAAATGACAAGATCCTGTTTCCTGTGTCCCAGACACCTCTTCACTGGGGGGTGGAGGGAATCAAGTCTTCAGAGTCTGGTCCCCTCAGGAGGGCTCAACAACCAGCACTGGGCCAGGCCGAAGCGTGACCTAAGTTTCCCTTAGGAGTGGCAGTCTGCTTCTGCTACCATTCCTGGGCACATTAGCAGGGAGCTGGACTGGAGGTGGAACATCTGGGAGAGGACCCCACACCTATGTGGAGTGCTGCAGTCGCAGGCAGCAGCTTTAACTACTACGCCAGGACACCAGCAGCAGCACAAACCACACATTCAGACACAAAAAGGCAAGCTAACTCAAATGTTGTGCTGCTTTCTTTTTCTGCTTGCTACTTACCAGGAAGATTTTCTGTTTAGAGACTATATCGCTGCCACAAACTGATAACCGGGAAGATGAACCCAACACATGAAGAACAGCTGAATGTAAAGCAAGAAGTCACCTATATATACAGAGCATGACAGAGCCACGTGGAGCCATATTATTTATGAACCAGCCCCAGATTTCCTGAGTATTAATGAGAAAACCAAGGTCCTCCTCTGAACCACAAGTTTTCTATTATGTGCGGCTGAATGATATCTACAAAGGGCAAGAAAAATTTTAATGTATTATCCTTTCTAAAAAAATCAACTTACGATAAGTTAAGGCAGGTTAATTACATATGTTCAGCTACAAGCACATTAATAGCAATGCTACAACTACAGTATGAAGTTAAGAAGACTGTGAATGAGATGCTTCAAAAATTAAATACAAATTTAAGAATGGGTTGTAGCACAGCATGTTAAGCCACAACTTCAAACACCCATACCCCATATTGGAATGCCTAAGTTCAAGTCCCAGCTCTTCAGCTTCTTATCCAACACCCAATTGATACACCTGGACAAGCCGCTTATGATGGCTCAAGTACTTGTGGAAAACCTAGATGGGAGTTCTGGCCTCCTGAATTTAGCCTGGTCCAGGCCTTGTTATCAGGGGCATTTCAGCAGAAAACAAGCAGAGGAAAGATCTCTGTCTGTATGTCTTTTACACAAACAATCAAATAAACCCTTGCCTTGAACGTGCTGGGATCCCATATGGGTGCCAGTTCTAATCCTGGCAGCCCCACTTCCCATCCAGTTCCCTACTTGTGGCCTGGGAAACCAGCTGAGGACAGCCCAAAGCCTTGGGACCCTGCCACCCGCGTGGGAGACCCAGGGGAGCTCCAGGCTCCTGGGTTTGGATAGGTGCTGCTCTAGCCGCTGCAGTCACTTGGGGAGTGAATCCGATGATTCACTATGCTTCAATATGCAAAATGGAAGATCTTCCCCTCTGTCTCTCCTCCACTCTCTCTACATGTAACTGACTTTGCAATAAAAGAATAAATAAATCCCTAAAAAAATGTGCTGTTTGGACATAGTAAATCAAGCCTCTGCCAGTGGTACCAGCATCCCATATGGGTACCATCCCATATGGACACTGGTTTGACTCAGTTCGTGTCTCGGCTGCTACTCTTCTGATCCTGTTTCCTGGTGACTGACTAGAAAAGCAGTCCCTGGGTCCTTGCATCTGAGTGGAAGGTCCGGAAGAAGCTGCTGGTTCCTGGCTTCAGATTAGCTCAACTCCAACCACTACAGCCACTTTGGACAGTGAACCAGAAAATGGAAGATCTATCTTTCCTTCTCTTTGTCACTCTGCCTTTCAAGTAAAACTAAAAAAATCAATCTTACAAATCTAATAAGCATAATAAAACATACACATAAAAAATCAGGTACTCAATAGTTTCTATACACAGTGAATAGAAGCATCACAGGACTTTTTCAAATTTACTTATTTACCTATAAGAGTTGAGACTGGGTCTGGTGCGGTAGCCCAATGGCTAAAGTCCTCACCTTGCACACTCCAGTATCCTGGTTCTATTTTTTAAAAAAACATTTATTTATTTTTATAGGAAAGGCAGATATACAAAGAGGAGGAGAAACAGAGAGGAAGATCTTCCGTCTGATGGTTCACTCCCCAAGCGGCCAGAACAGTTGGAGCCAATCTGAAGCCAGGAGCCAGAAACTTCTTCCAGGTTTCCCCCACGGGTGGTAGGGTCCCAAGGCTTTGGGCTGTCCTCGACTGCTTTCCAGGGCACAAGCAGGGAGCTGGATGGAAAACAGGGCTACTGGGATTAGAACTGGCAATGGGCCCCAGTTCTAACCTGGCTACTCCACTTACCATCCTACTCCGTTTGTGGCTTGGGAAAGAGTCAAGGACAGCCGAAACACCCACATGAGAGACCCAAAAGAAGTTCCTGACTTTGGATCAGCTCAGCACTGGCTTTTGCAGCCATGTAGGCGTGAACCAGTGGATGAAGATTTTCTGTCTTTGTTTCTCCTCCTCTCTACAAATCTGCCTTTCCAATAAAAATAAGTAAAATCTTAAAATAAATAAAAAGCATAGAAAAGGAGAAGGAAAAACAGGATGTTTCTAATTCTTCATCTTGCCCTGCTTACAGTCAAGTTGCACTGTCTTTAATGAAAAAAATAAAACAAAAAGATTTATTTATTTATATTGGAAGTGAGGATGTTAGAAGAATAGAACAAGTTGGACAACCCTCCTGGCCAAGTTTGTAGCTAGTGTCTGGCCTACAAATGCATACTGAGATGCTCGTGGTCAGCCAATAAAGTTTGCAAAGATTATCTCAATCCTAGTGTAACAAAGCAGATAATGTCTCCAAACTATCAAAACCATTCAAGTAACATCTTTGGAACACTGTTCCCTATATCAGGGTCTACAAGGCATCATTAAAATGACTGCCCCCAGCCTTGGGTGCGGGGGCACCCATAGTTTAACAACAAGGAGCAGCCCGTTTACCACCCCTCCCTACCACAGACCACAAGAAGAAAGAAAACTGAAACATATGCCCCACACACCTTCCTCCAAACCATGGACCCTCCCCACTCTAAGCAAAGGCCCACATGGACCCTCTCTCAACTATGGAAACAATATTAAAATAAAATATTTTTAAAAAGTGAGAGATCTTCCATTTCACTGGTTGCTCCAATTAATGGCACAATAGTCAGCACTGAGTCATGCCAAAGCCAAGAACCAGCAACTTCTCTAGAACAGGGCCAACTGCTCGGGCCATCTTCCACTGTTCTTCCCAGGCCATTGCCAAGGAGCAGGATGGCAAGTGAAGCAGCATTCAGAAAGGACTGCTTAATCACATAAAGGATGCCTGCTTTTGAGAGGGTAGCTTAACATGCTAGGCCACAATGCTGGTCCCATATCAATGAGTTTTGGAAAGAAAACAAAGATCGCCTTTTGGCTAAGATCAAGTGAATGGAAACAAAGAGGGAGAAACATCCAGACATGAGAAGAAACACTGTAGATGGGGCATTATAAGCCCAGGAAATCTATGCAAATAGAAGCCATGCAAGCTACTGTAAACCAGGCCCAAACTGACAGAGGCAGGACACTACAAATGGTAGAATACTAGCAGACTGTAGTAGGTGGGAAGGAAGCAAGGACTGTGCAATCACGGGGTCCAGGGCAGACAGGCCATCACAGTGATGAAGTGTACATGCACTGTTTGTACATAATGTTGGGTATGAATAACAGTTCAGCAGGTTTAATTTCATTGACAAGTTATAAATTTCAATGTATCAGTGGCTACAAATACCAAAAACCAAGTAAAATTCTGAAACAAAATCCATCGGTAGTACATATTACTTGTATGTTTCAAATTTGCTTTAATTTCCTTTTTATAATAAAAAATATTCAATGATCTAGCCAAATACACATGCTTCAATCAATACAGAGACTACAGTTTCCCTATTATTACTCTTAAGAATTTACCTCTGCTTCTCTTTTCTTTGCCCGGGCTTTCTCTACTTCATCCATTACTTTCTGGGATTCTTCCACATTTCCTTCAGCTCCAAGTTGTTCCACCTTGGCTAACAATTTACCAATTTCTTCATTTAATTCATGAACACGTTCTGCCTAGAAAAAACATACATATGAATATATCATGAATAAACAGTAGAATGAGGATAAAATTTTCAAGTGTTACTGAAATCCCCAGGAAAAAAATGCCTAAAGTAATACGAAAATCACCACACCTCTGAACACAGACCAGATGAACCGGCCAGACACAGACACTAACGGGTCTGAGTATGTCGGCAGGCCTGCCTTGAGCTCAGGGGTCCTGGGCAGTGTGATGTAACTGACTTCAAGCCTCTGTTTTAGCTAGTGCACTCCAAGCATAAAGTACCTTTTCTCTTCTTTGATCTGCCCCCATCCCAGTATCTTCTCAAATCACCTCTTACTGGATGCTGGATCCTTACCTCACCACATAACCTATCATTTTATTTAGTTTGTCAAAGTCCCCTGTTTAGTCTACCCTTGTGACTTCACAGTGTTACACTGTTTCCTTTCCCTGGAATAGTATTTCCTCACCTCTTGTGTATACGGTAAATGCCCACTCATTAAGATGTAATTCAACAATCTTTTACTTGAACCATTCCTGAAGAATCATCACATCCCATCACCAGTTAGACACATAAGTAGCGAGAGATGAGCTACATGCTTACTGCCAAATAATTTAATACATATCATATGGCTTTGAGGGATAGCTACTTGTATAGCACATCTTTACATCTCCAATGCCTAAAAACAGCACAAGCTCAAGATGTGAATGAAAGGAATCAATGGGGCCAATGCATGGCCCAGCAGAAGCCGCTGCCTCCAGAACTGGCATTTCATGCAGGAACTGATTTCAGCTGCCCCACTTCCAACCAGTTTCCTAATACGCTGGAGGAAGCAGTGGAAGACACCTCAAGTGCTTGGGGCCCTGTAACCATGTTGGAAAATTAGAAGCAGTCCCAGGCTTTAGCCAGGACCAGCCCCAGCTGCTGCTTTAGAATCGTACACGGTCTTTTTCCTCAGCAGCAGCAGCACAATCATCCTGGGAATACCTCATGATACATCTACAGTCTATATTGACTACAAAACAATTGTTCATTCTACTGGGTGGATAATTACATTTGCAAAGTTTTAATTTGATATACGCATCTAGCTCCAACAGATGTCTGTGTTGTTAATCTTTATTTTTCAAATTTCACCAACCCCAGAACCAGTACTATGGTATAATGAGTTAAGCAGCAGCCCACAACGCACACTCCCCATATGGGTACTGGTTCAAGACCCAGGTATTCCATTTCCAACCCAACTCTTTGAAAACATACCTGGGCAAGCAGTGGGAAATGCCCCAAAGTCCTGGGCATTGTGGAAAACCACATGAAGCTCCTAGCTTTGGACTGGTCCAGCCCAGGCCTTTGTGGCCATTTGGAGCGAACCAGTAGATGCAAGATTTCTTTCTCCATCTCTGGCTTTCAAATAAATAAATCCTTAAACCCCAGCTGAAGGCAACTGCCTAGGTTACATTATAGCTAGGCAAGTGTAACACTGCTGAGAGAAATGCCAAAAGCTGGTGGGCATTCTAGGCCTGATTAATGCCAAATCTGCGTTAACTATAGCAATTTTTTAAAAGTTCATTTTTGCTGCAAAGGCAGATTTACAGAGAGAAGGATATACAGACAGAAAGGTCTTCCATCCACTGGCTCACTCCCCAAGTGGCTGCAAAAACTGAAGCTGAGCTGATCTGAAGCCAGGAGCTTCTTCTGGGTCTCCCATAAGTGGGTGCAGAGTCCTAAGGCTTTAGGCCATCCTCTACTGTTTTGCCAGGCCACAGGAAGGGAGCTTGATGGGAAATGGGGCAACCAGGACATGAACCAGGGATCCCAGCAGATGCAAGGTGAAGATTTAGCCACAGAGCCATCGCACCAGACCCAATTATACCAGCTTACCAGGATAGTTGTCTATTCTATTTTTAAAAACTATGTGTTGGGCCCGGCAGTGTAGCCTAGTGGCTAAAGTCCTTGCCTTGAACACGCCGGGATCCCATATGGGCGCTGGTTCTAATCCCAGCAGCCCTACTACCCACCCAGCTTCCTGCTTGTTGCCTGGGAAACAGGCCCGATGTTTTGGGATCCTGAACCCACGTGGGAGACCAGGACGAAGTTCTTGGCTCTGGATGGGCACAGTACCGGCTGTTGTGCTCATTTTGGGGAGTGAATCAACAGACAGAATAACTTCCTCTCTGTCTCTCCTCCTCTCTGCCTGACTTTGCAATAAGAATAAATAAATCTTAAACAACAAACAAAAACACAAACAAACAAAAAACTATTATGTGGTGATCCCAGATAAGCACTCTTGGGAGACTCCCCATTTAGACTGTTGACCTTAAACCCTGGTCTCAGGGAAAAATCACAATATATATACTCCATTTAGGTGGACTTGGTCAGCCAGTAGACCTTGGAAGCATTTTCTCAACTGTGGCGCAATGAGGGTGATGATGTCTTCAGAGCATTTTTCCCCACACTAGGGTCTCTAAGGCCTCCTCAAATAACTATCCCCCATCCCCAGGTGCTGACAGAGTTTGACATCAAGGAGCAGCCCCTCCCTTCCCCCTCCCACACCAAAAAAACCAGAATTTTATTTCGTCCATCTTCCTCCATACCAACCCTTTCAATTCTAGCCAGAGGCCCACACAGGCAAGCATCTTTCTCAAGTATGTAAATGTTAAAAGTAAAAGTAAAAAAATCAATCTTGTAAATATTCCTCAACCTAAGATATCCTTCTATCAAAGACATATCCCAACTGTTATTACTATCTTCCTTTTTGAGAACTGGTTTTCCTCTGAATATGTCATTGAATGATACATTAATGCCAGAAACTCTTCAATATTCTCTACATCCAAGGCCTTTTCCAAATATCATGGTAGCTGAGAACCATCATACTGTAACTCTGAGTGGGACCATAACTTGCTTTGGTTAGGGGACTGTAGCAAACATGATTTGCAAAACAAAGAGTTGAAAATCATTTATATGAATGGGTTTTATGTTTTTATACACTCCTACCATCAAGCAAAAATGAACAGGATACCCCTTTGAACATGGCTGAAAAACCTCTACCTAGATAACACATGTTGGCAAAATCCAGCTGAGACAGGGATAATTGTCCAGTGAAGACCAGCACAAATCAGACTTCTGAGCTAAAATAAACACTGTTTATATCACTGAGTTTTAAATGGATTGTTATACGTATTTACATTTATTCTGAAAGTTAAAGTCAGAGACTCATTTCCCAAACAACCACACCAGCTGGAGCCTATCACTGGTCAAAGCCAAGAACTAAACCTTAATCTTGGTTCACCAGGCAGGTGGCAGGAACCCAAGCACTAAAGCCCCCACCAGGTAGCTCCCACAGTGCACATTACCAGGGTGCTGAACTTGAGATTAGAGGCAGGACTACAACCCATTTACTCCAACAAAGGATGCAGAAATCCCAAGTTCTGATTGCCACCATGTGAACTCCTCAACCCTGCCCAAGGAGTCTTGAAAAGTTTTGTGGAGGTGCGGCTCACTTCTAATCCAGCTCCCAACTATGGGCCTGGGAGAGCAGCAGAGGACAGCCTCTGCATCAACACATGAGACCTGGAAGAAGCAACAGACTCCTGGCTCCAGCTCGGCCCACCCAGCTTTGGTCATTGCAGGCATCTAGGGTGAGAATAAGCAGATGGAAGATCACTGAAAATCTTACCTTAGCAGCGACTTCAGCACTAATCTCTTCTTGAGTTTCTGCTAATCTTTTCTTAGCCACTTCAGTTCTTCGGTCACAATCTGCAATGAAGGACTGCAGATGATCCATGGCCTAAAAAATCAGTAATAAACAATTAATGCCCCAGAAAGACCATTATTCAAAAGTTATTTTGTTTTTTGGGATGCCACCATGGAATTAAACTAATAGTTAAATTACAAATCCAAAATACTACCTGTTAAAAAGGGGAAAGAAAGGAACGAAGGAGAGGGGATTTGAGGGAGGCAGCAGGGGAGGAAAAGAAATATAGTAATCATTGAAATACATGAAATGTTTTTTCCTGAAATTAACAAAAAATTTTAAATTAGAATTGTTCACACAGTCCCCAAATTGCTGAAATAATCAGACAAAAGCCAGGAGCCTATAACTTCCGGCCTTCTCAAATGGGTGGCAGGGACCCAAGTACTTACGCTATCATCCCAAGCACATTAACAGGAAGCTGGATCAGAAATAGAGCAGATTAGGATTCCAACAAGCACTCTACTATGGGATGCCAGCATTGCAAGCGACAGGCTAACCTGTGACATCACAATGATCCAACTCACAGCTAATGTGCCTGTATGACAGATGATGGCTTAGGTATCTGGGTTCCTTGCGAGACCCAGATCACAGCTCCTGGTACCTAGATTTTGCCAGCCCAGGCAGCAACCATTGGGCATGAATCTGCAGTCTAAATCTATCTGTGTGTCTCTTTATCAATCTGCCTTTCAAACACATATTTTTTTAATTGCTAAATATTACATGATCACAGGGAAATAGATAATACTACATGTTACTGGTAGAAATATATACCGATAAATCTCAAAAGCAATTTAAAAACATTTACAGGGCCTTGCACATGCTAGGATCCCATATGGGTGCCAGTTCATGTCCTGAAGGCCCCACTTCCTATCCTGCTCCCTTCTTGTGGCCTGGGAAAACAGCTGAGGTCAAGCCAAATCCAGGGACCCTGAACCTGCATGGGAGACTAAGAAGAAGCTCCTGACAACTGGCTTCGGATCACCTCAGCTCTGGCCATTGCAGCCACTTGGGGAGTGACTCAGCAGATGCAAGATCTTCTCTGCCCCTCCTCTGACTTTCTAATAAAAATAACTTAAAACCCACATCTCTTATCAGGGTAGCTGATTCAAATCCCAACTCCACTGCTTCCAAACAAGCTTTCTGCTAATGGAGCACCCTGTGACAGCAGGGGATGGCTCAAATACTTGGATCCAAACCACCTATACAGGACACATAAATTAAGTCTGACTCTCTCAACTTTAACCTGGCCCAAAAGCAAAGAAACAGATGGAAAACTTTTCTACATCTGTCTTGTACCTCCAAAATTAAATGAAAAATTTAAAAAAATACAAAAAACTTATTTTTTAAAAGATTTATTCTTATTGGAAAGGCATATTTACAAAAAGAAGAGGGATATTCTATCTGCTGATTCAATCTCTAAATGGCCACAAACAGCCAATCCAAAATCAGGAGCCAGGAGCACGCTCCGGGTAGTCAGCGGGCCCAAGGATTTGAGCCATCCTCTGTTACTTTCCCAGGCCATCAGAAGCGAGTTGGATCAGAAGCGGAGCAGCCAAGACATGCACCAGTGCCCATATGCCAGTGCTAACAGGTAGATTAGCCTATTGTGCATTCACTATACTGGCCTCCTTTAAAAAACATTTTTTTAAACTAGAATGCAGTAGCTGTTATGGTGCAAGTTGCCAACTGGGATACTAGTTTCCCATATGGGTATCAGGCTCAAGTACCACCTGTTTAATTTCCAATCCAGCTTCTTGCTAATACTCATGGGAAACCAGCAGGCAATGACCCAAGTACTTAGGCCCTGCCACCCATATGGGAAACCCTGCTGAAGCTCCTGGCTCTATTCTAGCCCAGCTTTGGTCATTAACAGTCATTTAGGAATGAACCCAGGGGACCGAGATCGTGTGCATACGTCTTACTCTCATTCTGCCTTTTGAACAAAATTTTTAAGGCTTAAATAAATAAATAAATAAATATTCATTTCCTAAAAACAGAGCATTTTCCGGAAGTGAAAAATGCACAATATATTAAATCATAACCTAAATGCTTTAAGGTATTCCTGTAATTGTTTCAACCAGATTAAGCTATGTCTGCAGACAAAATGGTTCTCATTTTCACTAGCAAAATGGCTTAGATGTTAAAGACATGAAGTACTTCCTTGTCTCCCAAATCAATATGAGTACCATTTCACTGATAAAACTATCCCAAGTGGAGGACAGCGGCTGGCATCCTGCTGTATTAGGTTCGGTTATCACTTGTAATACTGGCACATCCCTTTGGCATTGGTTAGACCTGGAAAAAGCTCCTGGCTTCAACCAAATCTAGCCACATGGTTAAGGACATCTAGGGAATAGACCAGTGCATGGGAAATCTGTCTCTCTCCCTGCTTTGTAATTCTTATTTTTAAACAAATAAATTGTGCTAAAACACATAAGCATGGAGAAGGGGGACTGGCACAGTAGTTAGGATGACTTTTTTTTTAAAAAGGTTTATTCATTCACTTGAAAGGCAGACAGAGGGAACAAGGGAGAGGGAAAAAGATCCTTTATTCATTGGTTCATTCCCTAACGGCCCCAACAGCCAGAGTTAGGCCAATCCAAAGTCAGAAGCCAGGATTACGCTCTGGATCTCCCACATGGGTACAAGGGCCCAAGTCCCTGGATTATGCTCCACTACTCTTCCAGGGATACCACCAAAGTACTGGAATAAGAGGGCCGCAGTCAGTACTTGAACTGGTGCCTATATGGTATACTAGCAGGACAGGCAGTAGCTTTTACCCCTATGCCACAATGCTGGCCCTAAGAGATGACTCACAAAACTGATGGCAGCATATCATATCACAGTTCCTTTGTGGGTCTTCAGTCCACACTCTTCCTTTCTGCTAATGCTCACTGTGGGAGGCAGCAAGTGATGCTGAAATACTTGGGATCTTTCCCTATTATCCAGAAGAGACATATATTGAATTCCTAGTTCCCAGCTTTGGTTAGGCCCTCTCCCAACTGTTGCAGGCAACTGAAGAGTGAACCACCATTTAAGATATGCCTGTCCACCTCTCAGTCTAAATGAATACATAAATTATATATACACACAATGTAAGTACTGTAAGACCTACATTCATCATATTTTACGTAATACTGACAAGAAAATGAAATCATTCTCACATTAAAAACATTAAGATAAAGTCCCAATTTTGGTCCTTTTAGATACCTGAAAGGCCTGTACCATGCCAACAGTGTGTCAGTGTGTGAGAGACACATACAAGTGAATATGAAAGTACAATTTCAGTACGTTACTAAAGAAATGGTCCTAAATGCACTAGGAATTAGTTGTTTTAATCAATTTTTAACCACTACCACTTTTCCTGTAAATTACAAGACTTACACATAATTTTGTTAAAATATCATCTCATATATTAAAGTCTTGCCAAGAAAAGTACATAATTGTAATTAACTAGTATTTTTCATATAAATACAAAGTGGCTAACATCTTGTATGCAAAGTGCTATAAGATTTTCCTTTAAAGGGTTATTGAAATAAATCTACATCCAACTTGTTTTGCTACTAAAGACAGTAAAGCTTATTAAGACCACATACATCAAGCTCAAAGAAAAAATCTTGTTCTTTGGATGCAATTTCATAATCTGCTCTTAAAGCCAGGTCATGGACTTTGAGACATTCGCCAAGATCCATTCTCTGTAGGGAAAAAACAAAGACATAAGATTTTATTACTTAAAAACAAATATAGTTTCCATATTATCATTAAATAAGCACAATCCTCTTTACAATACACATTATGCTATAGACACTTCTTTACCATATTAACTGCAAATTTCATCAACAAGTACTCAATTTGACACCAGAAAAACAGCATCAATTCGCTCAGTCCAAAGATGATAATAATGATCATTTCTATAATTAAGAACAAGGAAATGCTTCCAGAATCAAGAAAACGGTCCTAGATCCTAAACAAGACTCCATGTGAATAAAGAGGTAAGTCTATAAAAACAAGGATCTAATCTCATCTATAAGCCTGCATTATGAAAAAACACTCTGAAATCACAAAACCAATGTAGCTTCTCAAATAATACACAAAGCCATGAAAATCCATTACTTTCACATGTATCTGTGAAGTTGAGAAGATTTTTTTTCTAAGGTCTGGTGCTGTGGTACAGCAAGTTAAAGTGCCACTTGCATTATCTTGGTTTTTTTTTTTTAAAGATTTATTTTTATTATTTTTTTTATTGGAAAAGCGGATATACAGAGAGGAGAGACAGAGAGGAAGATCTTCCGTCCGATGATTCCTCCCCAAGTGAGCGCAACGGCCGATACTATGCCGATCCGAAGCCAGGAGCCTCTTCCGGGTCTCCCACGCGGGTGCAGGGTCCCAAAGCTTTGGGCTGTCCTCGACTGCTTTCCCAGGCCACAGGCAGGGAGCTGGAAGGGAAGCGGGGCTGCCGGGATAGAACCGGCGCCCATATGGGATCCCGGGCGCGCAAGGCGAGGAACTTAACCACTGTGCCACTTGCGCCATTGCACCAGGCCCCATTTGCATTATCTTGTATAGCATGCTATCTGCAGTCCCTTACTCCACTTCAAGGCAGCTGCATGCTAATGAGCCTAGAAAGGCAGTCAGATATCCCAGGTCCGTGGGCTCTACAGCCGGCGCTAGCATCCACATCGTGAGCACTGGCTGCTCCACGTTTTTTAAAAAAATATTTTATTGTAAAGTCAGGTTTATAGAGAGGAGGACAGAGATCTTTCATCCAATGATTCTCTCCCCAAGCACTTGCAATGGCCGAAACTGTGCTGATCTGAAGCCAGGAGCCATGAACCTCCTTGGGGTCTCCCACGCAGGTGCAGGGTCCCAAGGCTTTGGCCCATCCTTGACTGCTTTCCCAGGTCACAAGCAGGACCACTGGGATCAGAACCGGCATGCTCAAGGCCTTTAGCCACCAGGCCGCCGCACTGGGCTCTAGCTGCTCCACTTTCAATCCAGCTCCTTGCCAATATAATTCAGGAAGCCATGAGCGGGCTCTACTACCTGGGCTCTGGCATAGCCCTAGCTATTGTGGCCATCTGGGGAGTAATGACAGACACATCTGCCACACCCTTTCTCCCCGAACTCAGTTTTTCAAATAAATAACATAAATTTTCTCTTAAAAAAAAAAAAAAAACCCGAAGAAGAAAAATCTGGGAGGGGACATCACCCCAATGCTAGATGCTAGGGATAAGGTGAATTCATGCAGTTTAAATTCTAAAAGAAAACTAGTAATATCAAGTCTAAAACAAAGCAGTATTGCTTCTCATTCCTACTTGGATCAGATAAGAACACTAATCTGAAGAGTATTATTTCACTAGATCTAAAGAATGAGCAAGTTAACTGTGGGAAAAATACAAAAAGGTTTCAGACTTTACAGAGGAGTTAGAAGGTAAATAAATCTTCCAAACTGCTAGTGTGCGGGCGTGCACACACACACACACACAGACACACACACACACACTTACAGGAACAGCAAACAGAACAGAAAATCCAGAATACATAAATCAGAGCCTAAGCTTTGTAAACAGTACTCAGAACTGACTCGGCCTATTTAACTCTTGTCTGACAACATGGATATATATATATGTAGATAGATATGTATGTATGTATGTATATATAAAACATAATATATAATCACCTATTGTGCAAAATGTCTCCAAAAATATGGTGATTTCATTCAAGAGGATTTAGGCCAGTGTGGTTGCATAGCACGTGAACTTGCTGCCTGTAGTGCAATACATCCTGGAAAGCAGATGTCGATGGCCCAAGCACTTGGGTCCCTGTCACCCATACTTAGAGTTCAGTTTCAATCTGAGCACCCAGTTTCACCCTAACCCAGCCCTGTTTGATGCAGACATTTGAAAAGTAAATCAAAAAATATAAGCTCAGAATCACTCTCTCTCTCCAGTGCCTGCCCATGCACCTGAGCTGCTACCACATACTAGAGACGCAAATTTCATAAATTTTCACACTTAAAATTATCTTTCAAAATTAATATAATCACATGGACTTGTACTTGCCCATATGACTTTAGAATTAACAGTTTCAAACCAGGTACTGTGAGGGGCTAGCATCATGACACAGTGAGTCAAACTGCCCTCTGAGACACCAGCACCCTCAACCAGAGCTGGGTTACATCCCAGCGTCTCCGCTTCCAATTCACACCAGTGCTAATGGCCTGGAGAAAGCAGATGATGCTCTAAATGTTTCGGTCCCTGCTCCTGTGTAGGAAATCCAACCAAGCTCAGCCCTGACCACTGCGACCATTTAAAAACAAGTGAACTCTCTTATTTTCTCAATTTGACTCTCAGTGAATTAATTCTTCTTAGTTACCCTTTGCTATTCCTTCTTCAGCTCGCCTGCATCATTAAATTTCACAAGTAAAACACTAAATATAAAAAGGGGAAAGTAACGCCCAACAAAATCTTAGAAAGTTTTAAAAATTCTGTAACTAAATCAATACACCCATTGTTTTATCATGTAAAACAATAAAGCTTAACAGTTAAAATGCTGCAATTATTATGAGTCAAGCACTAAACGCTTTTAAAAGATTCCTTAGTAAGAACCATCAAATTAGAACTAATTATACTAATTCATCTGTCTTGCTACTTAAAATCTGAAAGTAAAATCTAACATAGTACAAAAGAAAACAAACCAAAACATTTCCAGGAACAGGGCTAGGTGTTAGGCCCAACAACAAGGACACCCACATCCTGGCTGGCTGTGCTTGATAACGGATCCTGGTTCCCGATTCCAGCTTCCTAATAATTTAAACCCCAGGAGGGAGCAGGTCAGAGTAAAATGGAGATGTTCAAGAGATAAGAACAGAGTTCCTGGCTCTTGCCCCAGCCACGTCTCAGACACTGGAAAATGAACCATCCGAAACAGGATTCTCTGCCTTAACTTAGAAACAAAAAAGGTAAAAGACCTAAAATCTGTCTTATACTTGCGCTAAATCACTTGCAATATAACAATCTGTTTCACTTATTATTATCACGTATTTCGTGTAACGCAAGTTCAATGAGCTCAATGATATACATGTTACAAATGATGTGTTTGTAACATCATCCTTCCTTTTTCAACCAAAAGGAGAAACCAGAATCCACTAGCTGCCCCAGATTTGGTAAGACGAATTTACAGCAGCCCACAGGCTGGGATTAACATCATCTGCCTGCCAGCACAGTACTGCGTATGGGTGCTGCTTCAGGGCCCATTCATATCTCAACTGCTCTACTTCCAGACCACCAGACCAACTCCCTGCTTACAGTCTGGAAAGCAGCTGAGGATGGCACAAGGCCTTGGGCCCCTGTACACAGGTGAAAGGCCGGGAAGGAGCTCCTGGCTCCCAGGTTCAAATCAGCTCAGCTCTGACATTTGTGGCCATATGGGTCCTTGGGGAGTGAAACAGCTTACGGAGCACCTCTGTCTGCCTCTCCTGTCACTGTAAAAATCTGCCTTTCAAAAAAAACCCTGAATTTGTGGAACTATTTACATATCTTAAAAATATCTGGAGGGCCCAGCACAGTGGCCTAGTGGCTAAAGTCCTCGCCTTGAAAGCACCGAGGTCACATATAGGCACCGGTTCTAATTCTGGCAGCTCCACTTCCTATCTAGCTCCCTGCTGTGACCTGGGAAAACAGTTGAGGATGGCTCAAAGTCTTAGGAACCTGCACCTGCATGGAAGTCCTTGAATAAGTTACTGCCTCCTGGCTTCGGATGGGCACAGCTCTATCTGTTGCGGTCATTTGGGGAGTGAATCATTGGATGGGAGATCTTCTCTGTCCTCCTCTCTGTAAATGTGACTTTTCAATAAAAATTAAAAAAAAAAAAAAAAAAGATGCTGTTGAAAACAAAATCAAACTCCCTATTCAATTTCTTTCATATTTTCTACAATCATCAGATGAAATCGGGTGGAAGATCTTCCTCTCTGTATATCTGACTTGGCCATAAAAATAAGTAAATCTTAAAAAATCCTTTAGTGCTTTTCCAGGCCACAAGCAGAAAGGGAGCTAGATGGGAAGTAGAGTAGCTGGGACGTAACCGGCGCCCATATGGGATCCTAGCGCATGCAAGGCAAGGACTGAATCACTAGGACACCACAACAGGCCGGCCCACTCCCTCTCTTTCTAACTTAAATCTTAAATGTCTGACATTGGAATACCTGGGTTTAAATCTTGGCTCTATTTCCTGCCTGAAACTTTTTGGTAACAGATCCCGCAAGGCGGTACTTACAGTTGAGATGACTGGATTCCTGCCAATGTCGTGCAAGGTCTTGTTCTCCTGGATCTGGCCCCAGCCAAGGGGGCACGTGGAGAATGAGAGTGGACAAGAGCTCTTTTTACCACTCTTTCGTTATAAGATGGTAACAACTGCCTCTGTATTCAAAGTACTCAAGTGTTCAGCTTAGACACTCTGAGTTACCAAGCCCCTGCTCCTGTTATAGCTTTCTAGTCATCCTAGACCACAAAAGGGAGAAGTGGTAACTCAAGTAGTTGGGTCCTGCCACTTGTCAGACTAGGCACAGCCACTGCAGGCATTCGGGAATGAGTCAGATATGGCAGTACCCCTTATGTTCTCAGTGTGTCTGTCATTCATTATCTCTGTGTCAGATAAATACACAATTGCTCTGAAGAATGGAAATAGTAAAGCATCAACGTCTATGGAAAAAAACCTTCAACCTAGATAGAACAAACAGGGACACAAATCCTTCCTCTTAGTGTTATTAATCATCGCCTAGTAACTGGACAATGAAGATTTTTACCAAGTGGTACATGTCACTAATTAAACAACAGATATAATAAATACGTACAGTTCCAGAAAGGACATCATGTGGACAACAGTTGAGAAGGTGGCTCTTGCATACTCTGTCATCACTGAATTTTATTCGTTGACGAGTAGTATCTCCTGTAATATAGGAAAGTCAACAACATCCTAGGTTAGACAACTGGAAAGCATTAAGTATCTGAGAGCCCTACTATTAACTAGTGCTTTATGTGTGGTTACACACACATTTATTTATAAATCAGCTCAACAGGGATTAGTGTTTTATATAACCTCCTATAGAAAAACTATTTTAGACAACATGCAGTTGCAGTATGTGTACTGCACTTAAAACTCAATAGTCAAGGTAGGAAAGCAATGCATTCTGTTAAACAGAGTACTTGAGAAAAGCATAGGATTTTAGAGCAGGAATGGACCTTACAGATTACCAAGTCCAATTCCTTTGTATTGCGGATGAGGAAACTGAGGCCCCCGGAGGTTAAGCAACTTGCAGCAGACCCACTAGAAGAGTTTCTACTGTATACAATGTTCCCTTCTTGACAATAAGCATTGATTCATTTTGTAATTATTTACATTAATTGAAAAACATAAAAAGTAATCTTGCAAACATTGCATACACACTGCGAATCCCCACTGAACCCCAGACGCCATTTCTTCCACTATTTTGTTCCAGCTGAGGTGTCTCCCCTTTTGCTGCTGGGAGGAGTTAGAGAGGGTAGAATAACGTGTTTAAGAGCGTACAAACCTGGAAGAAGGACTTACACACCAGTAAAACAAAGGCACATTGCCTAAATGAAACGTTAGCTTTAAGGCCTAGAAAGGCTCCAAACCTCCACGTTTTATGCAGTCTGCGCTATAAACTGCCAAACTGGGTACTTATCAGTCTGTCTCCACATAAAACATTACACCTCCTAAGCAAGAGAAGTATCAACCTGCTCGTCAAATAGGACTAGCTACTCAAAAGTTTAAAGAACCCAAGAAAGGTAACTAGCTCTAGTATCAAAATGCAGATGTTAAATTTTTGCTTAGAATCTCTGGAAAAACAAAAGAAAAAGCTCATAGGATGTTTCCTCTTTCTAAACAGAATAAGCCCTAAGAAATGCAGATGTTTTAATTCAGCTTTTGAACTGAAAGCATCGTGAGCAAATGAAAACCTACTGGTGAATTACTGAAGCCGACACTGCTGGCAGCAGCAAGGACTGTGATGACTTCCACTGCTCCTGCTGCCTGCAGACCACAGTCAATCATTTAAACCTCTGTGTTTTCATTTAACAAAAAAGGCTAAAATTTAATGTCATCATGATCTTACATTGAAGAGTTTAATCACATATCTTCAACGATATACTGTCATATTCTGATGGGGTAAGATTTTGTTCTAATTTGTTTTAGTCAAAAAGATTTAAAGAACATTCTAATTTGTAACCAGGGTATGCATTTCAAAGACAACTACAGCTAACGTGATAGCTTCACAGCAGTTCCACAATAGGTTTTCTAGAGGCTACTCACTAGTAAGACTGTTCTCGACACAAATTGGAATGACCCAGTTAGTGTTCACGCCTGCTACTATGTGATAAAGGTGATTTTGGTGGTCCTTTTCTTTTTAAACACAACTGCTTTTGTTCCACATTCATTAACACATCTGAAAAGTTAGCAATAACTCACGGCTCGGCGAATGCGGGGCCTTTCTGACACTCCCTTGCAGACTGAAGTAGGCAGGCATAGATACATTGAACCTTTACAAATAAAACAAGGGGCCAGATTGTTCAGTTTGTATAGAATAAACTCTGCCAGCAATTTCAATACAGCATCTAGAAGTACACGTTGACTGTACAGATTCTTGTAGATGAAAATAAAAGTGAACAAAATCAGGGTGTTTTTTTTTTTCTAATACTGACTTAGTGTTACCCCAGAGAAAAATACCACTGGCCATAGCTTAACAGTCCAAAACTGGAACTTTCAAAGTAGGCCTCGGGCCCATGTGCCAACTGGGGTTTTGTTTTAAAAAGCTATACACTTCATCAGGACTGGTGAGTGCAACTTCAGGTCCTGCTCGAATGGTACTCTGCTAAACTCAAACAGCAATGCTGTATTAGAGATTTTTGCTTGCTAGCATATAATACAATTTTAAACCTGCACCCCAATTATGTCAAAATCTCTAAAGATGATACAATGTTTTAAACAGGGTCAAGGGAACCTTATATCTAAAGTCTCCCTCTACAAGTATCTAAATCTTCAGTAATGCAACAGCGTATCACTTTAGTGCTTTGTTAAACTGACAGCTCAAGGTTATAAACAGAGCTCAATAAGATCAAGATTCATCAAGCTTCAGTAACCAAACATTTCATCCACAGGGTGACTGCTTTTGCTTTAAAAAAAGAAAAAACACCATCATTGAATCTATTATTAGATATGTGTGTCCTGAAGACACTATGATAAACCAGCAACAATTCCAAATATGAATCTAACAGACAGTGGTCCCGATGAGATTAAAAAAAAAGGGGGGGGGGGCGGAGCCAAAGCACGCTAAGAGAACTCCTGACTGCACATGTTGGGTGCTCCATCAGCTTTTGAGAACTGTAGAAATACAGCTACCAAACACTCGCTGTTACAGTAAAACCTTTAACAACTGAAGGTACAAAAATAGTCTGAGGGAGACTAAAAAGTGTGTATCTGTTTATTGTATTTTTAAAATTCTACTCAAGGACTTTAACACTTTATGTAACAACTGGGCTACAAACCATGCAGTATCTAATAAAATTTGGGCTTATGCCAGAAAGTAAAATTCAGTTCAATCAACAAATAATTTTTAAATAAAAACACTGGTAATTTTGGCTTCTGTCAAGATATCTGGCCCAAACCATGTCTTTCAAAAAAAATTTTTTTTTTCAGATAAAAGTGTCCATGAAAATAACAACAAAAAACACAAACAGGGAACCAGTAACAATCAAATTTAACAATATAAAGAACTATTTTATGAATCTAAATACTTTAATTTTGAGTTTTCTGGGCATAGTCACATAAAAAATCTCAACTGGGGGAAAATGTGTCCTGTCTGAATTGAGTTCACAGGACCAAACCCACTGACATCGCCCTCCGTGTGCCAAGCAATAGTGTTGCACAGAGGCACCCGAGACAAGCACCCTCCCTTCAAGGAGTCTATGATTTTTATAAAGAAATAAGACATACAAATGAAGGAATGAGCAGTAATACAAGATAGCATGATCCCAGTGCCAAACGGGTATTTTCAAATAGGTAGTGCTCCAGGGATTTAAGACTATAACGTCCACCAACAAGCACTAGAAAGGCTGGGAAAGAGCATAAAATAAAAGGACAGAGAGAATTCAAAGCAAAAAAAAGTAGAAAAAGAGCATTCCTCACTGGAGCTTATATAGGCAGGAAGGCTTGGAGAACAGTAAACAAATCATATTTGGTTTGGCAAATGGCTTCATGCAAGGAAGTAGCAAAGTTGGAGCCAGAATAATGTTTTGAGGTAAAGCTTGACTTCTTAATTTTTTTTCCATCCAAATTTTTAGTGCACAAGAATTTTTAAAAAATGTAACGAAGAGTAGATCAAGCTATTTAAGTCAGCAGTAATAATGTCCAACCTATAAAAACAGCTCTCTGCCCTAAACCTCTACAATGATTAATGCACATAACTACAATGCCAAGTTTTTAGAATCAGAAACCTGAAATACAACTCCTGCAGGCAAAATATTTTTCATGTGAATGGAAGCTCCAACATTCTAGTAATTTCCTACTGATCAATTTATCCTCAAAGCAAGAATTCTCTTACCTCCCCCTTGTCCAATCTCTTCACGAATCTCATGAATCATAAACTTTTGAGAATACCTGAGTCACAGGCAGATAACCACAACTGGAACACATTCCTAGCCATTTGCTTCTCCAAGGCAACGAAGTCTGAGGCAGTCAGTCCCACTTGGACAGGCCACTTAAAAAACCTGTCATTTTATGATCCTGCCTCTTCTGAAACTGACATACTTAAATTTTACTAGTGTGAACACTTAAAACCGTACCCTAGCTGTTATCCTACACCACTGCACGTAGAACATGCTATTTTCCCAATTATCCACCCCTCCCACCCCTGTGTTGCCCACCCTTTCCCTCCCATACAAACAATAAACCAAATGAACTTTCACAGATTTAGGTACTATTTTAAAAACATCAAAATTTTACTTTACCCATTCTCTCCGATGCTCCCTGTATTTTTATAAGCTGTGAGTGGATGACCATGTTATGTGATCAACAACTGTGAAGGCTAAGCAAAAGTGAACTGAGTTTAGTATTGTAATTTCAAAAGAATCTTAACGTTTGTAATATTTGACATATTTCATGATATGCAGAATTGTATTTTACTGCATATTAGGTATTAATGGCAAGCAATTCATAAAAGCAACCAGTATTTCTTTTGTACAGAACTAGCATAGAGCTTAGCTTAGGGAAAGCAGAGGGAAAACACAACAGCATACAAAGCAATGGGCACATCCTCATGTTTATAAATGGGATCAGGGAGTGAAAGCGCACACACACACACACACACACACACACACACACACACACACACACACACACACACACACCACTTTTAGGGGCCACATAGCACCAAGGGCTAGAACACAGGTCCCTAACTTCTAAAACAGGATCCATACTCCCTTACATGAGGGGAAAAAAAAAGCTAGAGTTAGAAAGCTGTAGAATCGAAAAAACTGAAGTTTGCTTCCCTGACCTCTTGAACCCTCATATGTAGAGATATGACCTTTCCATTTACTATTTCTTCCAGTACAAGCTGCCATGTTCACATGCAGAAAACATGTAAAGATCCATGACCAATTCTAGTCCAGTCCAGGGCAGGAAGAAACCTTCTGCAGTACACAAACCCCATATGCTCCTGTAGAGCCAAGATCAAGGAAGCTGACTACTGCTACATGGCTATCACACTTGGAAACTGACCTCAGCACTAATCAGCCCTTACACTTTCCAACCAACCCTAACCACCTCTAACTACCTTTGTGTACCTTTAAAATTCAGTCTAAAATCTCTTGTAATTAACCTTTTCAATGATCAATTTTTACATTACTTGTTTATTCTATGTTCCCTTGTTAGTTCATTCACCCAGTTTAATTCACTGTATATGTAAGAAGGTCAAGTATGGAGTTCATTTTACAAAAGGAATCACCACCATATCTTAATATAATAGATGCTTTATAAAAATTTTAATGACATGTTAAAGGAAGGAAATACTAAACATCGCATCAGAAAGATAAATATCCCAGTCTATTTTCGAAATGTAACAGTTATTTCTTTCTAGCAGAACTTAGAAAGTCACTCTCAGTAATACAAGTTTCTCCTTCTTCTAAAAGATGCTAATAATACTTCACAGCTGAAACAGGACATCCCTGTCAGTCCTCTGGGTCATGTGACCTAGAACCTCTAATGCTTAGATTACATACTATTACCACACCCACCATAATCCACAAGAAACACATTTCTTTTAATGCAATGCTCAATGTATTAGAAATTTCTGAAACAAGTTTATACTTGCTGCATATAACACTTTTTAAAATTTTACATCTAGTCTACCTATCAATGAAAATTTATATAACAAGAGTATAAAGAATGAGACTGGAGAAGACTTGATAGTAAGAGAAAAAGCATGGAGCACCTGTAAAAGCTAACAGAATGGTGATGAAAGCTGTAAAAATAAAATTAGCAAAGTAGCTACGTGATATAATGAGGCCTCAGAGGGCTGTTTTACCCCTATTATACAAGCAGATTCTTCAGCAGCTGATTGGGATCAATGCCATCACATGGTGGGTCAGGGGGAGGGGGAGATCAAAGAGCATCTGTTTGGGGATTCAAATAAAACATTAGCAAGTCATAGTTAGGAAGGAGGAGAATATTACACCCACTAGTCTACCTTCCAAATGCCTGCAACAATCAGAACAGGACAGGCTACAGGTACGAGGCCCAACTCCACCCAGGTTTCCCACACAGCCAGAAGAAACTCACCTACTTGACCCATCTGCTGCCTCCAGACACTGGACTTCAGACCCACGCAGTACAAAATGAGATGGTATTGTCCCAAATTTTATAATTTGGATACATATTCACAGAGGGGCCACTCTGAGCCAATAACCCACAATCTGGGTAGATGGCACCCCTTATTATTCAGAACTTACTGTACACAAAAGTAACAAAAGCTATGAAACTAATAGTTGGAAAAAATGAAAAAATGACAGATTTATCTATCAAAAATGACAAGTTCACAGGGCGGCACAGTGGCTCAATAGTCTAATCCTTTTTCCACAAGGGTTGGCATTCCACATGGGCACTGGTTTGTGTCCCAGCTGTTCAACTTCCCATCCAGCTTCCTGCTCATGGCCTGGGAAAGCGGAGGAGGATGGCCCTAAATCTTGGAACCCTGTACAACCACGTAAGAGACTCAGAGGAGCTCCAGGCTCTGGCTTACGACCAGCCCAGTTCCAGCAATGGCAACCATCTGGGGAGTGAACCAACAGACAAAGATCTCTTTTTGTGGTGTCTCTCATACCCTATGTAAATGTGCCTTTCAAATAAAGAATTAAAAAAAAACAATAGCAAGACAAGTTTTCATCGGTTGATGGTAGCTATCAGCCAACCAGACAACCTTGCCAAATCTAAAATCAACAAAGGAAATAACGGAAAAGAAATGAGAACAAAGAACAGAAGTGGCAGACAACTCAATGATAAAGAAAATTGAAATGAAGAGCATCATGAAGGAGATGAGAGTCTTGTAACTATTGAAAACTCAGTAGCAATATGGTGTCCCACCGGATGCACACCAAATTCCAAACAAGCCTTAATTTTGGAGAATGGACTGCTAATGCGAGGAGGAACATGGGGACTTCACTTGTAAAGCTTTGTTTTTTAAAATGTGATGAAATACAAAAGAGAAAAACCTATACATTCATACAGGTGTTTGTCATTTGAAAATTTTCACAATCAATTGCCTATTTTTATCATCAAAATCTGCGTAGCCAAAAAATAATTATTCATGTTCTGCCTTTGGGCACTTGTGGATCATTAGAGCCAAAGAGGAAAGAACAAACCATTAAAGCCATGCAATTCAGCGACACACAGATTCTCCTGCCATCAACAATGACTAACCCTAAGCCTGTCAACCAGGACAGACCACCGGTCACTACGTGGAGGGCAATGTCCTTTCTAATAGCATGAAGCAAGCTAAATCTTAACATAAGAATTTGCAAAACTATTCATACATGGTATCTAGATTGATTCATTTCTTCCTTTTCCCTCTCCTCCACCTTCTTTCTTTCAGGGTTGCTATTCCAGAACTCCCCGATAAAGCAGTTTTCCCACTGCCAAGCATTTTTTCTCTCTGTGAAACCAATCAGTAACATCCTACAGAACTGTTGATCTCCACACACCAGAACACACAGATGAGAAATCAAGCTAGTCAGCCATTCCCACCCTGGCTACAAAGACCTCTCTGGAGACCTAACTGCTCCCCACCTCCAGCATTCCACTTCTACTAACACGCAGAGACCAAGCTTTCCTTCTATATGAAGACCTAGAACAGCGCAAAGTGCTGGACTGGTATAAAAGATGGTTTTAGATACCACACTCATTACATCAAATTCACATTTCAAACCTCACTCACTCATTTAATGGAAAAGTTACTGATCATGATTAAGTGAAAAGTTTCCATGAGAAAAAGTACCCATAACACCCGACAAGCTCAAATTTTCAGCATAGGAAACCCTAAGTCATATCAGTGTCTAGGTTCCATCTTTCTATATGTCATTTTGTTTTCATTATATTTACTATAGGTCACATAAGGAAAACAAACAAAAACAACCAAAAAAAGGTTAAAAATAGTAATGCCATTTACTGTTAATTGTTAACTAACATTAACAATAGTAATATGATTAATAAATGGGAATTCTTTATCTAGAAGCTTCTCAATTTGCTAAATTATGCATCACAATATTCAGATAGTTTTAATTTTTTAACATTATTTATTTTCATTGGAAAGGCAGATCAGATTTACCGAGAGGAAAGACAAAGATCTTCCATCCACTGATTCGCTCCCCAAATGGCCACAATACTCGGAGCTGAGCTGATTCGAAACCAGGAGCTTCTTTTCCAGGTCTCCCACAAGGGAACATGGTCCCAAAGTTCTGGGCAGTCCTCGACTGCTTTCCCAAGCCACAAGCATGGAGCTGGATGGGAAGTGGAGCAGCTGGAGCAGGAAGTGGCACCCATTTGGGATCCCAGTGCTTGAAAGGCAAGGATTGAGTTATTCAGGCATTGCACCAGAGACTCCCCAAGAGTCTCTTCAGTAGGAGAGTCCCAAAATTTGCATTTCTAACAAGTTCATAGGTGATGTCGAATTTACTTGTCTATGTTCCACATTTTGAGAATCACTAATTCATAACAGTGATCAACAACCTTTTTTGAGATCTGGCACAGTAGCCTAGCAGCTGGGATCCCATGTGGGTGCCAGTTCGTATCCAGGTTGCTCCACTTCCCATTCAGCTCCCTAACTTGTGGCCTGGAAAGGCAGTCGAGGACGGCCCAAAGCCTTGGGACCCTGCACCCACATGAGACACCTGGAGGAGGTCCTAACTCCTGGCTTCGGATCAGTGCAGCCCGGAGCCATTGCAGCCACTTGGGGAGTGAACCAGCAGATGGAAGATGTTTTTCCTTCTTTCCGTAAATCTGGTTTTCCAATAAAAATAAATAAATCTTTAAAAGAGCCAGATTGCAAACATTTTAGGTTTGCTAGCCATATGACTTTATGGAAATCATGTAATTCACCTTCTGTAAGGCAAGCTAGCCATATACATGCTATGAAGGAGCACTGTGTTGCAACACAATTTACTTAAAAAAAAAAAAAAGCAGGCCACCAGTGCCAACTCCTAGTCCAAAGCATATCCTTAGGTAACAGAAAATACACCATGTAAACTAACAGGGCAGGATATAGAACAGAACAGCTAGGTTGATAACTAAATATTCGCCAATAAATATTCAGTTTCTTCTATTAAAAAGGCAGTTTCAGAAAGTTAACTATAAAAGAGAATTGAAAAAAAAAAAAAAAAAAAAAGAGAATCGGAGGAAAAAAGTTCCTGAGGTCTTAAGAGAGACATGACCAGAGTCAACAAAAGCAGCTGGTTAAAGTTTTTTCATGATCAGCTAAACAGGTCAAACATCAATTGTACATGGTTCACAATTAGAACACGTGGGTCAATAATGAATGGATTTTAAAACAAGCTTCAAAGATCTGTTCTGTGGCCTATGCTAAGTGGCAAAATGCGACCCATTCAGCTAACTGAACTGTTTTACTCCCCTGATATTTTCAACTTCTCACAGGCCTAAGCAAGTCAGTGCGCAAGCACAAGCAACCACACAGACAGTTCCGCTTTCCAGAGTGACTTTTCTCTGTAACCTTGATAATCCTACGAAATTGGATAACTGGTCTACTTTGGTCGTTTCTTCCAATTTATTTTCTAGTAGCTGCTGCTGCACAAGAATTTAAACCAAAAAGAGTACTATAACCCTTTTTTCCAGATGCTAAAGCCACGAGATTGCCATCAGAAAGTCATGTTCTATAATTCCCTCCTTCCTTCCCCACCAGGCCGTTCTTTCTCCAACTTCTTCATCTACAATCCCGAACGGACTCATTCTCTTGAGTGGAACTGTACATGTTCCCTCAAGAACTACATTAAGAGCATTGAGATTCATGCATCTTTCTGGAATTCCATTCTTGAACAGAATTTGCTTTCCTTATTCAGTCTTTAAAAAAAAAAAAACTGTTGTCATTTTTCAAATTTGAAAGACAGATTTACAAAAAAAAGAGGAGACAGATCTTCTGTTTACTGGTTCACTCCCCAAGGGCCACAATGGCCAGAACTGGTCTGAATTGAAGCTGAAAGCCAGGAGTTTCTTATGGGTCTCCCACACGGGTGCAAGGCCCAGGTCCTTGGGCCACCTTCTGTTGCTTTCCCAGACACAGTAGCAGGGAGCTGGAATGAAATAGAGCAGGCTGGGACAGGAAGGGCACCTCCTGAGGCTGGCACCAGGACAGAGGTTGAGCAGGGCCCCTACACTGCCTGTCTTTTCCATGTCACTGCTGGTCTGAACCCTTACCAACTTCCAAGTTCAATGTTACTATCATTCAACACCACCTCGCTAAGCCTGACCTTGATCCAGTATACCTACTTGCCTTTAAATTCCTGCTACCCATCTTAAACCTGCAGCTCTCCTACTATCTTTTCTTACATGACATTCTACCCAAATTGCATTTGTTTGGTATTTATAGAGCTTAGGAAGAGATAAAGCCAAGTATTTTTTCTTTGGTCTCAGTATTTTTTCCCTGATATAAAATACCTAACTCACGGGGTTACTTGAGAGCTAAATAACTACACAGAATAGAGACAGTGCAGGGTTACATGAGCTAATTTTATGGTTTTCTAGGCTGCTACATGGATAGAAATATTACTCAAGAGTTCAAAATACAAAGCTAAGATAGTTTCTTAAACTGATTCACTATGAAAGTACCAGAACTTCCAGGATTTTGGACATATGTAGAACTCAAAGTTCTTAAAAATCACTGAAAATGAAATACAACCATTTGTTTCCTAAAGTTTCTTTAATATTAAAGAATTTACAAGCTCTGAAGTAAAATCTCATTCTTATTTCAAGTGTGTGTGCCCATATATTAAAGGCCATGCCACCTTTACTTAAAAATGAGTAATCTAACAAGAATAAAACAATGATTTAACTAATCAGAAAATAAGGCTCATTACAATAGTGTGAGAAAAATTAAGACTTTCAATGTCAAGTCAATGACAAGGAACACAGATTACAGTGAAGTATAAAGAGAATTCACTGAAGGAAACACTACTCCAAGCTTAGATTCAACAGTTCTGTAGCAAGGCAAAATGGCATCCTGAACTAAAGACAATACTTCCAGAATTCAACATCTCAGTCCCCGAGATGTCCATTCAACTTTCACATCCCATCTATTACAGCTATGATTAAATAAGCTAATCAGCAGAAATACTGAGTTATACAACTTCTAATTGAGAAAGCATATATTTAGGATGATTATCATAAAAAATATTTAATTACCCGAAGGCTTAACTTTTCCAAAACATCTTCTAATTATAAGACTACAGAATGCCATATTTCACAACCTGTTGATTGAGAGCAGGCAATCCTAGTTTGATTTAACCTTTCAGAGATGTTATCTGCTCCCATCTAAAGATTCAATCAATTAAGAGAAATGGAACCCTCCAAACTACCTTCTGGAACTTCTCCAATTCTAAAACAAGGGTGTGATGGAAAATCCAACCTCAGATTCCGTTTAACTGCTATTCTACGCACTTCTCAGGCATTCCTGAAACTAGGGCGATAAACTCAGAACCAAACTGTTGTGGAGCAGAAAGGCTTTGGAATCTGACCTAACACTAATAATCATGGTCTGTGTGAGGACATGGGGTTCCTCTACAATCACCCTGGAGTCTCAAACTGCTCCTTAAACCCTCCCCTGCAGCTGCCCCTGCTAGTGGCTGGATGGTGCTTAGACACACTCCCCCTTCTACTAAATAAGAACTAACAGAAAAGAACTTAGAAAATGCAATCATTCTCTAGATAAAATGCTAATAACTGAGATCTACTTATGGGTGCTCCTTTCTAAAAAGCTTTATGTATGTTTTTTAACATTATTTGACTATGACATAGGAAATTATCTGGTTTCCCCATATAGCAAATTAGAGATTTAACTTGAGGCAAAAAAGGTGAAGTGACTTACCCAAGAATACAATTAGAGGTACAGCTGGGGCTAGAAACCAGGTCTCCTGAGTCCCAGCCCAG